GGCAAGATGAAAACCACTATTTTCTGTTTCAAACTTTCACATAGCATCTTTAGATTATAATAACATTAAAAATTCAAATCCAGATTTTGATTTTCAAAGATTTATTATAAAAACTGATCATTTTTTTCCCAAAATACAATAAATCCATGACACTTGTTTCTTTCAAAATGCAATAAATCCATTGAATCAATATAAAAGTTATTTTTCATATTGAAACTGTTGAAAATACACAACAAACTAAGTTGATCCACATATGACAGCCTCTGAACTTGGTCAATACTAATCTTATATACAGGCACTGGACTAAAAATACATTCAATCAGTCATCGCTCCCAAAATGAATTCAATGGGTCATATTGTTAATGCTATAAATTAATTACAACAATAAAAGAAAATTTCCTAATGAACAAGAACATGAAAAACATCACATTAGACCACAGAAATTCCAAAATGACATTTCCCTTCCATTCAACTTCCATTCATCTTTGCCATGTTACATTCATTTAGTTGACCAGTGCTATACGCTGTATTAACAAAAACATTAATGGCATTAATAAAAACACTTACACTGACAAGCTATGCAATATTGCGTTCATAATCGAATGTGATCCATTTGCGATTATGAACGCAATATTGCGTAGCTTGTCAGTGATCTACGGCTCTGTGTATTAAATGCCGCTCCATCTGAAAGCACGTGCTGGAGATTTACCACTGATCACAGAACCGGCTTTACTGTGGAGATGCACATGCGATTTATCGTGCAGCCCTAATTTTTTTGTTTGTTTGTTGATCACAAAGTACAAAATAGATGAGGAAAACTAGGATGCCGGGTGTATTCAAAGTGCCGCCATTACTGTCTACAATGCGTGGAGTGGTGCGCTGTGATTGGTTGATCGGATATATCGCATTCTGCAGAGAAGGGAGACTAGCGTTTGTTGCGGTTTGGAAAGATAGGGAGAAAACATGACAGAATAACACGGCGGATATAATATATAAATATCTGATATTTTTAAAGTACTTGTTGACCTTTTAATAAAAGATATCCCAAAATGTTTAATACGATTTTATATCAAGAACTTTATTTTTTATAATAAGGCTTTCTTTTTTTTTCATTATGATATCAGGACAGTTTTGTCGCCCTGACATTTTTTACTTCATGCCCTTCAAAAAATATCAAAAAGAAATAAAAAACATTCTTATCAGAGAAGAGGTGTGTTTCAAATCATTCTATGTTTAAATGGCATTTATTATTTGTTTTTGAATAAATTAATAGATACTGAAAAAAAGAGCATCATGTCATTGACCCTGGAATCTTTCAGGTGTTTACTGTTGGCGCTCTCCGCAGTGAGCTCCCTTAACATGCACAGTTTAGAAATACCCCAGTGTTTTCTCAGCTAGCAGCAATTAGCACAAACTCTGGAGCTCCTTGCTGGCTAATTACGGCTCAGCTACATCCAGGACGCAGGAATATATTAACACTTCAGTTTATAATTTTAACCCATTGCTTAATGTACATACACTTTGAACTGTTCTCATTGTATGCTCAGTGAGGGGTGGTGTGTGTTGATTTCTTTTTAAATAGCTTGGAAACTGTTAATATTTAAAGTAGTAAAAATGGATGTTAAGCATTTTACCACCACACATTTTTAGCTGTTGTAGGCTTGTTTAGCTGGTCCCCCGACCTGACCAAGCTCGTGTTCATCTGGTCGGCCAGCTGGTATTCTAGCCTGGGGTGCGTTCCCAAAAGCAGCTATGGTCGCAAGTTTCGTCATTACCAACAGAGTTCAACAGAACCTGCAACCATAGTTGGCTATAACAATGCTTTTGGGAAATGCACCCCTGAGCAACTAATGAGGGCTTAAAAGCCTTCTAAAACTATAGTAGCAAACCTGACTAGCTTTGTGGCTAGCTAAGACACTGTATACCACCTTAGGCTATAGGCCCTTTTCACAGTGACGTCAGCTAACTTCCGCTTTCCCGCAAAGCAATGTATCTGTACTTCCGTTATACCTTTACACCGGAGACTTCTCGGGAAAATGTAGAAAGGCGTTGAAATATGAAAGGCGTTATTTAAGAGTGAAGACTAATACTGTTAATGTACTTACAGTCGGGTTCTTTTGCGAACGTTTTTCTTCATCTGCTTTAGATGGGTGGCTTGCTTGCCGCAACTGCTTGCTTTCAGATTTGTATGACAACGATTATGTGTTCACACGAAATACATACTTGAAACCTTTTCACTTGTTATTTCGGGTTTATGTCATTCCTTGGATAATTTGTGAGTACACTGTGTAAATTAAATTCCCCCTTTAGTTGGGCAATAAAAAGACATACAACGTGATTTTGTTTTTATTTACTATGGGGAAATGACATGGACGCAAGTCATATTTTTTATATTAAATCGTTTTACTACATGGCAAGTTTCACATCCATAAAGGCAAGTGGTCTGAAAAGAAACTCATTATCCAGTTCAAGAATATGGATTAATATTGAAACAATACAAAAGGGACAGCCGCGTAGTTCTACAGATCTTTGGACTTCTACAATTACTTAAGTTCCTCCATTCAATTTCGCTTTAACTACATGTATACCATGTTTTTACTTTTTGAATTATTATTGATTAATATGATCGATCGTATTTTATTTTCATTATAGGCTATATGCAATGTGATCTTTAAAAAACAGCTATGACCTGCGTTTTATATTTATTTACAGAAATGCTGGCATCTGTTTTTAACTGTAAAAGCTTTTTATATAAACTTAATATATTTAATATTTATTTCTGAATTACATTAAATAATAAAACGGAAAATTATAGACCCCATTTTATTGATATTTAAATAGTACAAGCTTATGTTGAACTATTCTTGTACATACAGGCGCTGTATTAAGCAGGACATAAATTACTGAATGAAAAGGCTTTCTGTTACCACATGTAAATGTCTAAAACTTTGTTTATTTGAGAAATATAGCTAACCAACTTCATCTAACTGCAATAAAGACAGCAAACAGTGCGCGAGAGTCGCGGGAATCAGTGACTGCAGTGCTCCGTTTTCAACTCCTCCCTCGACTTCAAGCGGCAAATCTCGCAGATCGGTATTCGGTAAGTTCGTTTGAGATGCCAGACGCCTCTCCCTGAATGAGGACGAGAATAGACAGCAGCAGTCATCCTCTAATAGTATTTGTAGCAGTTGTACATGCGTCTGGGTGAACACCATGCTGGTAGCGATAGCTCTTACTATGCTGGCGGAAGTAAGAATACCCTGCTTCGCATTAGAACGGAAGTTGCGTGACGTCATGTAAAAAGGGCCTATTTAGGGATGCCTTAATATGCTCCTATGCTCCTTATTATACCTCCAACCCTGATTAAATACACCTGAACCAGGTAATCAAGAACGTTTGGAGTGCTAAAGACTTCCAGGCAGGAAGTCAGGCACCCCTGGTCCAGTTTAAACTGTATTTTCTAGTCTCATAACAAGAGTAAATTGGATGCCAACTAACGTTATAGTTGTGCTACTATAAGACTGGACTTGGACATGAAGTCTGATCATACACTACCATTAAAATACATTTTTTTAAATCATATAACAGTATGTGTTTAATATGTTTTAAAATTTAATTTATTACTGTAAAAATATTACAATCTGCTTAATATATTTTGTAATTTTTAAACAGATACATTTTGATACATCTTTTCATAATTGCTGATGAACAAAAAGCTCAATGAAGCACATTTATTTGAAATAGAATCTCATTATACGTCTTTATTGTCACTGTGTCCTTGGTGAATATAATTATTTCTTCTTCTTTTGAGAATGATTATTAGAGTGATTAGAATGAATGATAATTTGACACTGAAGACTGGAGTAATGGCTGCTGAAAATTCAGCTTTGCCATCACAGGAATAAATCACATTTTAAAATATAGAACAATTCTTGTAAATTGGAATGATATTTCACAATAATAAAGTTTTACTGTATTTTTGATTTTAAAAAAGCAGCCTTTGTGAGCATGAGACGTCTTTTGAAAACATTGAAAGTCCTTAAATATTACAAACATTTTGGTTCATGGAAGTTCATGGAAATTTTGTCAACAAAATAACAAGTTTTTTTTGGAAAACACCATTTCTCCAGGCTTGTATGTTTCATTTTGTATGAATGGGGTTGCGTCATTATTTTCACCCTAAAACCTCAAAAACCTGACATTTAGTTTTTCTTCCTTCCTCGTTTTCTTTTCTGTGTCTGACAGAATGTCAGACAGCATATGTGGCACTCTGTAAAAAGGAAGTGAACCAGTTACCCAAGCACCTGTTCTGTTTGGCTCATGTTGAGCTTTGCTATAAACCCCCTTTTTTTTTTTTTGTTGGATGAACTTTCTAGCTGCTGATTAAGCCCATGGCACAAACCCTTAGAGGGCTCGTTGACCTGAACTAACGCCCGCCTTTCTCTTTTCTCTGTAGGTACAACCAGGCAGCCTAAAGAAGGAGAGGTTCCAGGAGTGGACTACAATTTTGTGACAATTGAGCGGTTTGTGGAATTGGAGAGAAGTGGAGCTTTGCTGGAAAGTGGAACTTATGAAGGTAAATTGACCAAGTTGCACAACCAAGTTTTTGTCCCAGTATCGTATTGCTAGGATTATGGATTTGTCCTAAACTAACTAACCAACCAATTTTGGGCCAGATTTACTAACAGCTTGCGCCAGCGCAAACCGTCTTTTGGTGTTAAAATAGTACTGTCAGGATTTAGCGCTGAAAAGGCATGGACACAGTTATTTTTGCCCCTGACCTTATTGAATATGCATTTGTAGGAGTTTCCCTTTCAGACGCAAAATTTATGGGAGGAGACTATTTAAATGAATCACACAACGCGATTTACTAACGTTTGCGCTTGTCAAATTACTGGTATTTGCGCCATTATTTAACGCCCCAAAAAAACATGTCTTAAAGCAGGCGGTAATTTGCGCTGCTCTTGGTAGATTGCGCTGGTCATTATGGAAATGATCTAGCTGCGTCTGTGTTCTTTAATGTGCGCATTGTTAGTAAATCACGCGCAGAATTTTCCCTCCCATCAGCCCTATTATGGAAATGAGATCTAACGCTAATTTGCTCTGTTTAGTTAATCTGGCCCATAGTATTAAACTGTTGGTTTTTGTGCTATGGACATGACCGATACCTCAAATCATGGAGTTCCTTGGGGTGACGTGTGTTATTATTACTACTCTAAGCAATTTTAACCTAGTGAACAACACAATCAGGTAAATAATCCCATAGATTTACATTGAAAGAGGGAACTGTATCATATTTAGGAGCAAAATATCATCAGCCAGGTTTATATCCACATATTTTTAGGCAAATTTTGAGATGTTGAGTAACAAATGCTAGATAAAAGTTTTATATGGTAAGAAGACATTTGCAACAATTGCAATGGAATCACATTTACCAAGAAAAGTCATAGTTGTGCATCAAAAAGGTGTGAATTTGCCTGAACAAGTAACATGAATGAATAATTCTCTAAGAGAACTAAAGAAAACATGTTTTTATGGTCATTCTTAAACGCCAGAGCCAAAGCTTATCATTAAAATGATTGGCTATTATTTACCTCCTTGAGCTGTCTGACTTGCTCTCACTCCCCAGACATAAGGCGTCTTCTGCCGTTTGCTTACAAATTTGTTCTTCAGAGCATTTTGTTTGCGTGTGTAATTTATTACATTTAATAATGAGACACAGTGGCGTCCCCAGTGGCTACAAGTTGTATAGCCATTTCTTTTTTGTGCCATTTTACATTTTTGTAAGCTTTTTGTTTTCTTTTTGCGATAATCAGATTTTCGAGACCCTAGTCGAGAACAGACCTTGGGAAAGTATCTGATTAGTGGTAACTAGTTAATTCGCAGCGTGATATAAAAATACCCTAAAGGGAATCTGATTCTCTGGGGTCTTGTGAGCTTAGCCTTTCTTCACTTCAAAAGTCCAACAACTCCATCCCTTGAATTAATATTACTCTCCTCCTCCCTCTTTCGGTCCATTTCTACTTTTGTCTCCAAACTGACTCTCTAAACTACTGAACGCAATCTCCATATGTGAAATAAATCAGCTCTTCTCTTCTACTCGTGTTAATTTTTCCTCAGTGTTCATAATGGTGATTTTGATTTCCATCATGTTTTAAAGAATGTGACTAGCACAGTAAAGAGCTCTGAGACCGTTTCTCAGCTCAGCATTAATAATGTAACATCAGGTATAGAAGTGGAGTTTTTGATGGGTTTACAAAGGATTTTGAAATCTAATATATAAAAAAGCCTTTAAATCCCTGGATACAAAAATGTACTAACACACATAAGTATTTATCAAGTATATCAAGAGCTATCCTGTGAACTTCATTTTTTAGACAATCTTGAGTAGAGGTCGACCGAAATGTGTTTTTTACTGGCCGATGCCGATATTTAGAAATCAGGGCAGCCGATGGCCGATATATGATGCCGATTTTTTTGGCCGATATTTTGACCAATTTCTCCCCCCAGCATAGTACATGGCTCAAAACTTAAGCACCTTCTCAAAACAGTTCTGAAGCATGCTTTTTGTTTATGTTTGCTGACAGACACCAGTGTTTCCCACAGACTGCAAATTAATTCTCTGCCAGCAGGAGGCGCTGTTGGAGCGGGAGATATAGCGGTTTTCCCGGTAACGGCTGTAATCAAATAAGCACTGCGCTCACAAACGCTACTTTATCAGGCATTACAGGAAAGACGAAATGAAAAGGACACCGAAGCTTTTCTGAAGACGGTCGGTTCTTTTCAAAGATACATTCATATAAAAACACCCGCGCTGCATTTTAATTTTGAAACGCGCAGTGCTCAGTTTATTCAACAAAGTATAAGCCTTTTGGAAAATCTATTTACTCAATGTATGGGAAACACTGGACACTGCTATAAGTCAAATGGCCAAGTGATAACAAAAATAAAAGAGTTCACACATAATACACAGCCCGCTGCTCATAACTGCTTAGAGTGCACTGGCCACGAGCGATGACATCGTGGATGCTATTGTCGGACCCACACACACATTTCACGAGGAAAGTTAACGTGCATGTTATAATCAGCCCAGAAGTTTCGTCTGAACTGCATGTGTTTCTACTTTCACATGCAAATGACTTGTTGCACTTATGAATATGATAACTGCTAATATGATAGCATCAATTCTAGTAGGGTAAAACGTAATTATGCTTTTGAAATGGTCTGTTTTGCCCTGCCATCATTAGCTGAAGCTGTGTGTGAACAAGAACTGGCTGCCCCATGTCTCACGCAGCCAGAGAGAGATTCTCCGGCGTTCCGCAACAACGCTTAGCTGCCTGCAGACACGCCTGCCTGTAAATCGGCCTAATTTGCAGCAAAATCGGCTGATGCCTCTAATCTTGAGCATTCCTACCACAGTGTTATTTCCACTGCATCAGATTATGTATTGAGTTTATTAGCTGTTTTAATAAAATGTAGGTGTTATTTGTCAAATCTACTTTTTTAATAACTCTAAATATATCTGAAATATATTATATTTAAATCATTTTTATTGTAGTAATATTTTGCAATATTACTGTTTACTGTATTTTAGAATTAGAGACTTCTTTATAAAAAAAATTTAAAAACTTACATCCAGAAGAAACACTCATATTATCATGGAATTGTGTTTCAGAAAGAAGTATGGCAGACTTGATCAACTTACAGTAAATGCAAAGAAACACTTAAATGTATGATCCAGAAATACAAATATTAGCAGTGTGATGTTTATTATTCTACTGTTATTGTTTTTAAATCCATATTTATGAGTTACAGCTGTTGCGCGCTGCAACATCATGTCAGGTAGTGACCCAGGGAGAATTGAAGGCGTACTCAACCAGATGCCCTGCTCTCCTCTAGAGCCTGTTCATCCCAGGGGAGCCGTGGCACTTTCACTCAGTCTGTAAACATAGAACAGCACTCGCTCGTTTGAGCAACAGTTTGTGTGTGGTGTTGTACAGGTGTCGGTGTCCTGGCTGAATGGACTTTTGAGTTTTGTTGGTTTGTTTGCGGAGACAAGATTTCCACTGACTAAGCAATGTGAACACCACACTCACAGTAGTAAGATATTATGAACACTTCACGTTTACCTTGTCATCTGACTAGTCATCTAAGTACATACCAGACTTATTTTTCCAATTTTTATATATTCTTATTTTTATATAAAGCTAATTATAATTACTACTATGTGTGTAGATTAGGGTATTGATGGTTTAGGGACATGTCCATATAAAAAAATTAGCTTTTTTATGTATGTATATGTAGGCCTGTATATACTTCCATACTCACTACTGTTAAAAAGTTTGCAAAGACCCGCCCCACCTGGTTTCTGTTGCTATGTCCGACAAGCAATGGCGCTCATGTCACAAATCATGTTCTCAAGCAGTGAAAAATACATTGTGGAGCAAAGAGGAAACTGACAACATGCCGACAGACAAGACAGAGCAGGTCACTTTTGTTATGAAACAAAGTCTCAGCTTTCAAATTTTGTCATTTTTTTAAAAGAAATTCAAAGAATAAATACTGTTTTGTGGCTCTTTAATGTGTCATGACATCACTGTAGCGCCTCAGTTCAAGCGGCATGTGAACCGATCATCTCTTCCTCTTTACTAGTTAAAGCATAACATAAACATGAATGAACATCAGAAGGTATCTTGCTTCAACCATGGAAATATATCAATGCACTAGTGTTAATTTTGTCAGCTATTTTCACTTTAGTCTTAGTCGCAGGCTTGTTAGTTTTTATCATATTTAGTCAACCTGATTCTATTTAGTTTTAGTCAAGTTTTAGTCGACCAAAAAAAGTCTCAACATTTTAGTCTAGTTTTAGTCCAAGAAAACCTGAAGTATTTTAGTCTAGTTATAGTCAATGAAAACGTGACATTTTAGCAATAAGATTATTATTAATTAACCGTTCAGCAGTATTAATTTTGGCAGCCATATTTAATTTAGTCTAAGTCTTACTCAAATGTACATTTTAATTATCATATTTAGACAAACTTGTCCAGTTTTTGTTTATTCAATGAAATGTATGAGCATTTTAGTCAGGTTTTTTAGTCAATTAAATATTAGTCACATTTTCGTCATTCTGTATAATGGTTAAACTGATAAAAAAATATATATAATCGTAATGATTGCTGTCATTTGAGACATTTACTTTTGCATTTCAGGTATTGCACTTTCTCCAGTAAGCACAAATCAATAGAATGTGGACACACTCATGGTGTATTTTCCCTCATCTAGTGTACTGATTTATTATAGGCTTTTTATTGTATAAATCAACACCAAAGACTTATGCAATCTCTCTGTCTACATTATGAAAACAGCTAAAACAAATGAAAAATATTATAACAGTGAGATTCCTAGTAATTCCATTAATTCCATAATTGCTGTAGTCTACTTCTCTATTAAGACAACAGCGGTTGAGTAAGTGTATTTATTCAGCGATCACAATCTCAAACAATATAGTGAGATCTCATGACAGAACACTGACCAGTTAATGACACTTTCATTTAGATTGCTAAACTCCAGCTTGTTTGTTTTTCAGATCATCTGCACTTCCTCAATGAGGAGTGAGCGCATGGTTGCCAGATTGCTTAAAAAAAGCAAAACACACCAGGCGGAAAATGTATGAATTTAACAGCGAAACTCTGATTAGGAGATTAAAACTCTTCTGGCAACCGCACTCATGAAAGCTCGCGTAGTAGAGGCCTGTAGAGCAGTCGGCAATAACATTTTGTCTCCTTTTTTTGACGAAAATAAAAATAGGTTTGGTAAAGTTTTTATCTTTTTGAATACGTCTTATTTCGTCAACGAAATTGCATGTTGGTATAGTCTTAGTTTATTGACCTTATTGTCGTCTCGTCTTCGTCTCGTCTTAGTCATGGGAAAAAAGCTCGTCAACGAACATTTTTCGTCATAGTCTTCGTTAACGAAATTAACACTACAATACACTCCGTTTTTCAAGTTCATGTCCACCGATGTTAATCTACTCTCCTGTCTGGTTTGTTTGTTGAACAAAATGGCAGATTTGGCATTATGATTGGTCAGATCGCCTGTCAATCAAACTCCCGGCGAATTGTCAATTATGTTTTTTTTTTAATTCAGTAGGATACATATACAGTAATTGATCAAAAGAAATAGATTTATATTTCAAAATTGATAATTGGTGTTCTTTTGAACTTTCTTCTCGTCATTTTGGAATCCCGAAAAAAAAATGTATCATGGTTTCCACAAAAAATACTTGGCAGCAAAATCATTTTCTAATTTTTCTGGAGCACCAACGTTATTAAAATAGAAAATTAACCATTATCACACTGTTTACTATGATTTTAGATAAGCCTTTTCTTTCAGAAACATGAAAAAGTATTACAAATCCTAAACATTTGATCCATACTCTGTATTCCTATTTAATTTTTTTTCAAACTTAACTACTGTTAAAAACAATACTACAATCTTAATTACTACACACCAAGCCTAAAGGCCATTGCACACTGAGTCCGAAATTTTTGCACGTTGAAAAATAAATATAACCTCACGCTGTGTCAATTACGTTTACACACTGCCTCCAAAACTTTCATCCGTCATAAAAACAATTTGTATCGGGTTCGATTTTGTGCGTCTTTCGCATCCGTGGCAAGCATTTTGAGAGGCGTTTTGACAATTCAGAGCCACCGTACAAGCAAACGCCAAAATCCAGAATGGCGATTGTGAAGTTCATCTACTTCGTCTCGCAGCACAAAGCACTGTGAAGATCCTTGCACACTGAGTTCACAGTATATATACCCGTAATAATCTTGCTGCTTCTTAATAACGAGGGGGAACTCTCCTTCCTCTCTATATCTCAGGATTGGATGGACCCAGTATTTCCTTTCTTTTTAAGAAGCGAGAGGACAACAAAATCATCCTCACTGCTTGAAGACTCCATTTAGTACTGTTTTGCTCATTTTTTCGCAACGGATTAATTAATACACATCGGACTCAGTGTGCAAGGTTTCTGTGTGTGACAAATTTTTAGGATGACGAATAAGAAAAAAACGCATATGAAAATTTCGGACTCAGTGTGCAAGGACCTTAACACTACCCCAAAAATACTTTTTTTTCTTACTTTGAGAATCAATAAACATTATTTTTGAATCACTTTAATGTCATGTTGCCGGAAGTCCCTAAAATATGTGTCTGCAGAGGCAGCTCACTTCTGGAAGCAATTTTGTCCCCAAAGAATAACTACAGTAAACACCCACTGGAAAAAAGTGCCTTGCTTATTGCCTGAGAGGCTGATTAACAACATGCAGGAAACTGCATCTTTCTCCGTTCCTCCAGTTGTGACATGGTGGTGGCAGAGCTTACATTATAAACTTTCAAATGTCAATTATGCATCAAATGTCTGATTGGTTGCAGATAATTATTACGGCACCCCGAAGCCCCCGGCAGAGCCCAGCCCACTGCTGCTGAATGTAGCTGAGCAGCTGTTGCCTGGCGCTACACCCAGATCCCAGGGCAAACGCAGACGTAACAAGTCCGTCAGCAACATGGAGAAGGCTGGCATTGAGCCACCCGAGGAGGAAGAGGAGGAGAGGCCCGTCATCAACGGCAACGGAGTGGCCATCACCCCAGGTGAGGAGCTCTCAATTTAAGAAGAGAGATCTTGTCATGTGCTGTGACCTCAGATCAGGGTTACTAGCATAGAGATGATTACCGTGAGGCCACTAGGTGCATCATCATAGCAACCGCCTCCACTCTAAATGATCTCATAGTAACCACTGTTGTCAGGGCAATAGCCTAGCAACTGTCGCGCCAGCATGTTATCACACGTTCCTTGTTTTTGCGCTCCATAAGAGAGGCTCTGCGGGGCAGAAACGTGCATCAAGTCTGGATGTACTGAAAAAACCTTTTGTTTTCTTCTGGCTTTAATACAGCAGCATGACATAGTGATTTAGAATCTAACACAGTGAGAGAATTGTTGACATGTAGTAATATAAAGAACTGCCAGAGGAAAATGTATTGCTCAGATCTTTCATAGCTCAGTGCACTTAAATTCAACATGAAATCAAAACTGACCCTATTTGCCTTCTTAATACAAGTTCCTGGTCTTATTGGGCATGATTCATCAGTCCATGTTATTTGAAAGAGGGGAAAAATCTGAAACTTTCAGTTAACATTGCCTAGACTGGAAATAATGTTAACCAAAGGCCAAATATCTGTTTAGGCATTGTTTTCCAAGGTTTTCTGAATTCTTGTCTGTTTTAATTGAATGTTGATATAGTGATGTTTATGGCAATAATGAAGATAGATTTCAAATAAGTGGGGGACCCTAAAGGGATTGTTAACCCCCAAAAAATACAAAATTGTACCTCCATTGAACTTCCACTCCAACTTTGATGCTTCCAAAAGTACATCAAGACATCGCAACAGAAATCCATATGAACTGAGCTCTTTAATCCAAGTCATCTCCTTTAAATGTTGAAGAGATTTAATTTAGGCTGTTTTCCACATATAGACCTCAATGCACATACTGTCAGGGTGGGGGTAGAGGATGGAGCGAGGACTCAGTACTCCAGAGAAAGGGCTTTTATTGATAATAAAAAAAAAAAAAACAGCAACAAAAACTACCCCGTGGGAGAAAAACAGGCTGGCAAGGCAAGGCAAGATCTGGACACAACACATCCAGGGAGAGATGAAGACGAACTGACGCAGGACTGCAAACACAAGGAGAATAAATGGAGAGCAAGTGAGGAGGGGTAACGAGGGACCACATGTGGGGCAAATTAACTAATCAGGTAACAAGATGGGAGGGGTCAAGACAATTGACATGAGCACACCGAATCAAAGACAAAAAGCCATGTGCTCACACAAAACAAAACACAAGCACATGGCCAGCAAAACAAATCACAAGCCATGTGCTAGAACAAACGGGAGGGTTGAGCCATGGAGGCTCAGGCAGACCAGAAATCCCGGGGAGCCTGGGCGGGACCAGAGGAACAGACCAGGGAGGCTCCGGCTTAACAAGACCCCCGGCGGCCCACCAGGGCGGAGCCGGAGGGAGCTTGGCAGGCAGGAAGGGTGGAGCCCGTATCAAGGAGGGAGCCGGCATCAGGGCAAGGTGCTTGGGTGGGGCCGGCAGGGCAAGGATCCTGGGCGGGGCCGGCAGGGCAACGAGCCTGGGCGGGGCCGGCAGGGCAAGGAGGCTGGGCGGGGCCGGCAGGGCAAGGAGCCTGGGCGGGTCTGGGACGGCCTCCAGGCCAGTAGCAGCGGGCTCCGGGATGGCCTCCAGGCCATGTGGGAGGGAGGAAGCCCTTCTCCTCCTCCTCCGTCTCCGAGAGCGGGGCACTGCCACTTCGTCGGCCACCTCTTGGGGCGCAGCCGCCTCTTCGGCCGTCACAGGGACCACTGCAGCCTCTCCAGCCATCACTGGGGGCGCTGCAGCTTCTTCGACCGCTTCCGGGGGTGCTGCGGCCTCTTCGGCCAGAGGGTTCCCCTGACGGGCTAGGAACTTGATGAACCCCTCAAATGACAGGTGATCCAACCCTCTCATCCTCCACCAGTTGAGGGGCTCATCAAGGGAGTAGTTGAAGAGGTCCTTGAGGGCCGCATCATTAAACCCCAACCCCTCTGCAGCAACGCTGAACTCCAGGGCAAAATTCCTCACGTCAGCCCCCTGTTGACGGAGGGAGCTCAAGGTGATACGAGTGTCAGGGCTCTGTCACAAAACTATGAATTACACTAGACCGAAGTGACAGAACCCTGACACATACATGGAGCAAATCAAATATGGTAAATGGAAACTCACCTGTACTTGCTTGACGTGTGAGAAAGTGCCTTAAACATGTACAGATAAGATTTACATTATTTGAATTTTATTTGTGTTTTAAAGATGAATGAAAGATTTATGAGTTTGGAACAAGACAATGCTGAGTAATTGATGACAGAATTACAGAATGTTCATTTTTGGGGTGAACTAACCCTTCAGCCTCCACATCCTAGTCAAAAAAGTGGGTAAATATTATTTCACTCAGAAATACATCACTTTATGGACATGAAATTAGTTGCAAATTGAGTTTAATGTTGACTTTAATGGAGTTCTCAATTATTGACTAAAGTGTCAACTTTGTCTTTCACGGTGTTGGGGAGTACCTAGTTAAATGTAACGGAATTACGTAATTTAATTACAAAATAAATGTAACTGTAATCTGTTGCAGTTACTGAGAAAGTCAAGTCAAGTCACCTTTATTTATATAGCGCTTTTAACAATACAGATTGTGTCAAAGCAACTGAACAGCATTAATTTAGGAAAATAGTGTGTCAATAATGCAAAATGACAATAGTAACCGCTAATTTTTCAGTTAAAGACAGTTCATCATTGAATTCAGTGATGTCAACATCCAGCTCAGTTTAAATAATATCTTTGCAATCATGTCAACGATAACGCTGGAAATGAAGTGTCCCCAACTAAGCAAGCCAGAGGCGACAGCGGCAAGGAACCAAAACTCCATCGGTGACCGAATGGAGAAAAAACCTTGGGAGAAACCAGGCTCAGTCGGGGGGCCAGTTCTCCTCTGACCAGACGAACCAGCAGAACGGAAAAATCAATTTAAGACGTAATAAAACAGACGATGAACAATATTAGCAGCAATTATTATATGATGCAATCAAACTTATAGCAAAATGTGGTAGTTCTGCATGTTGTTTCAGGGTTGGCATCATCTGAGGTCCTCTGAGGGGTTGCATCATCTCTTCTCAGGTGTTCTGGATCCAAAAAACTGTGTAATTAAATTACAGTTACTTATGAAAAAGTTAATGATTACAAAAGGGGGTTACATCTGAATATTTTCACACACATGCAGATTTAATTCATTTCTTTCCCAAACTGCATTGACTGCTCTAAAATATGAAACATCAATGTTTCAGGAGTTTGTGTATATGCTTTATTATATATGTTGTGTAGCTATATGCTTTATTTTTTAAATTAACTATTTTTAAGGCATTGTTAGATGCCAGTGTTTCCTGTCATAGTTATGCAAAGATTTGATTTCAAAAACAGTAGCTATTAAACTATATCTTATTTAAGCTTAGAATGATCTCAAAGTAAAAAGAGGTGCTAAAGTCTGATTTTGTGGTGGCTGTGCTTTAAAATTCAATTATTATCATCTTAATTCAAGTGGTGAAGGATTTTGAAAGTCTGACAGTAATCAGTGTTGAGTATCACTGTAAGGTTAACCCTGCCTGGTTTACATGCTTGAAAATGATTAACAGTTTAGAAAAAGTTTTGGGGGAAAAAATTGAAATTGAAATTTAGAAAAGTAATCAAATGTAATCAGTTACATTAATAAAGTAATTGAAATAGTTACACTACTTCTTACATTTTAAATAGGGTATTGTAATCGGTAACCTATTATATTTCCAAAGTAACTTTCCCAACACTGGTCTTTCAAAGTTTCTCTTAAAATTCTTTAAGAAATAGAAACCAATAAGACACATTTTGACAGCAAGTAAGAGTATATAATTAAGCTATGCTATCAATGTGGATAGCTCAAATAATGTGGCCTTGGGATTTTATGTGAAATGTTTGAGTTATTATTGAAATCTAACTTTTCATTGCATGCTTTGGTATCTTGCGATATCTGAGCACAGTTTGAAATTTTGATTAAATGTCTGAGGAGACACATTGTTATGAGATAAGAATATTCCTTATTTCTGTTGTGCACCATCTTAGATGTACTGTTTCTGTATTTACAGTAGCCTATATATATATGGTTTTCATATATATATATATATATATATATATATATATATATATATATGGTTAAATTTATCCACCATTGGCAAGTGTGGCAAAAAGACGCTGTTTTTAAATGTTGTCTAGATAGACAGCTCACTAGGTTTCAGAACAGAGCTTGTGTGTGTGATTGAGTGAAACTGTCCTTTCATTTTTCAGTTGATTAAAACATCAGTACTGCTGAATGTTATGGGATTCGGTGTCTTTTTCTTTCGTCTCTCCCTCTCTCTTCCCCTCGATCTCTCCTTTGGGACCTCCAACCTCCATAACTCAAACTAGGACACGTTCGGCTCTCTATTTTTTTCCCCTCTCTTCTTTTCTCTGGCTTTCTCACTGCAGACTCCATTTCACCGTCTCAGTCCGGCTAACTCCATCTCTGTCTGTTCTTCCATCATTTCTTACAGTCTTCTGTTTTTCTTTTTCTAACATGCCCCTCTTACAGTGACCTGCTTTTCAATTCTCTCAGAAACTCCCAATCTCAGTTACATCTCCCTCTCTTATAAATATTTTCTCTGTCTGTCTCGCTCACATTCACCGGTTTTCTCTTTAGTCTTGGACTCTGAGTTTCACCAGCCGTGCCGATAAAAGTTGGAGACGTCTCGCAGAATATAGCGCTGGATTATTGTAAATTTGACAGCTTCTTTTTATAAGCGTAGCTTCTCTTGGTGATTATTCTGTTGAATTATATTACACCGTTTTCATCTTTTTTTATCCACTTCTACTGTCTGATTCTTTTTAATTGATTGAGGTGTTTGAATCAGAGATGTAGGTCTGCAGTTTCTCTTGTTATAATGTTATAGATTTAGTGAGGCGTTTTGCAGTTTAAACAGTTTAGCAAAGTATCCTAAAGTACATTTACTGTTTTAAACTTTTCATTATGATATTGCTGAAAGTTTAATGATTAAATAAAGCATTAGTTTTAGAATTAGACTTCTGTTAAAAGCTATTTTTCTTGCATTTTTTCAGAGTCCAGTGAACATGAAGACAAGAGTACGGATGCCTCAGGAGAGATGCCCACCACATGCCCCTCCGAAACCTCCACAGATGCCCCTAAAGAAGAGACCGAACCACCAAAATCACCTCTCAAACCAGATGAGAATGACGAGTTGGGTCCTCTGCCAGATAATTGTGAGATGGCTTACACTGAGAAAGGAGAAGTGTACTTCATAGAGTGAGTATCTATATCGGTCTGTTTTTCAGCTAATTAGAATTAGAATGATAAAATATAATCAGCAGCATTGTTTAAAGGTGCATTCAGTACTTTTTTACCCAGAGAGTTAAATGAATGTGAATAGTAATTTTGAAAAAATATGTAAAATCATGAACATTAAGCAGTACACCTAATGGGAGCCATGTTGAGATCCCATGACCAGCTAGATATATTAAATATATGTCTATTTTATAATATGCACTGCATATGTATAATTAATAGTATTTTTGTAATGTATTTTATTATAAAATCCAATATATATATATATATATACAGTGGGGCAAAAAATTATTTAGTCAGCCACCAATTGTGCAAGTTCTCCCACTTAAAAAGATGAGAGAGGCCTGTAATTTTCATCATAGGTATACCTCAACTATGAGAGACAAAATGAGAAAAAGAAATCCAGAAAATCACATTGTAGGATTTTTAAAGAATTAATTGGTAAATTCCTCGGTAAAATAAGTATTTGGTCACCTACAAACAAGCAAGCTTTCTGGCTCTCACAGACCTGTAACTTCTTCTTTAAGAGGCTCCTCTGTCCTCCACTGGTTACCTGTATTAATGGCATCTGTTTGAACCCGTTATCAGTATAAAAGACACCTGTCCACAACCTCAAACAGTCACACTCCAAACTCCACCATGGCCAAGACCAAAGAGCTGTCAAAGGACACCAGAAACAAAATTAT